TCCGAACCGTTCAAGAACTCCTAGTCCTGCTGGTCGCAACACCAACAAACAGATATGCTTTTCCTTCAAGAAGAATGGCACGTGCTCGAGGGAGAATTGCCCGTTTAAGCATGAAGCTGCAGCGACTCCAGCTCCGGCTCCCAAGGCGGACGCCAAGGCCAAACCTAAGGCGGAGGCAAAGCCGAAGGCCGAGCCAAGCGCTGCGGCCAAGAAGACTCCAAAAGCGAAGCCGAAGCCAGCCGCACCTGCCGTCCGCATGTGCAGGGCATGGAATCCCGTGGCACCAGCCGTCGGAAGAAGATCATCGTATATGGTGGACGAGGAATCGGATTGTTCATCAGTTGACAGCGACGCTGACTCCGACTGCTCGACCGACGATGAGGTGTCTGGGGCAGCTTCGCCGACCAGAACACCGAAGGATCGTCGAGTTTCTTTCTCCAAAGATGTCAAATTCCAGTCATCCAGACCACGACGATCGTACAAGGAAAGGAAGAGCGAGGTCATTAAGGTTGATGTGGATGCAGTCCTGAATGACGAAAAGAGAGAGATCGAACTGGAGTTCGCAAAGCACAAAGCACGTTTGAAAGCACAGATCATGAAGGACATGGTCGATGACCCAAACGATACCGGTGATCGAATCTCCTACGTTCGATTACCTGGCACCAAGAAAGTGACTGAGGTTGCGTTCTATGCCGGGGATGATCAAATGTTCGAAGGGAGTCTCGACTCTGCAATGAGCAAGAAGATCATCAAGAAGGGTATCTTCAAGTGCATGGTACAACCGGTCGTGCTAAGGAAGCAGATCAAGTTTCTCATGGACACTGGCTGTGGTCATGACTTGATTGCCAAGAAGAAGATCAACAAGCACAATCTGGAGATGTTGGTTACGCCAGAACCAGTATGGTTCCAGACAGCCAATGGCGTCACAGACAGCGACTTGGTGTCCAACTTTCAGACAGAATCGTTCCGAGAACCGATCAATGCTTATGTCCTGGAGGACACACCATCGGTGTTGTCTATCGGGAAGCGTTGCATGAATCTCAACTACGGCTTCATTTGGCCACCGGGACGTGAACCATACATGATCGAGCCAGAAGGGAAAAGAATCTCTCTGTATGTCGACGGTGACATCCCGTATTGCCGCTCCGGAAATGGCAAATGCCTGGCCCACGATGACCCGGAGGCTTCAGCAGTTCACAAGATCCTCCTTGAGTCAGAAAACGTGAGTGCAAAGGCTGTCGCCGTTGCGATGGCGCTACCAAGTGAAGAGTTGGGTGATGACGTCGGCGGGCGAAGAAGAGCATGCTGATGTACCTGACCCTGAACCTCATGAAGTTCCTGTAGATGAAGTACCCGAGGCAGAAGCAGGTAGGCCGCCGGACCCTCCAGGGGGTGGGATCGGCGAAGTCGCACATCATCCCGATGACGATGAGAAAGAGGTTGAGATAGAAGGCGAAGGAGCGCCCGTGAGAAAGGCGAAGGTTGGAACCTTGAAAGCCGAAGTCAACACTCTTGCACACTTGTGCACTCATCGTTATCGCAACCCGTATTGCGAGTCATGCATCAGAGCGAAGATGAAACATTTTCGCACCAAACGAGGAGCATTTCAACGAGAGTTGAAAGTGTGGGGTGACTTGGTTACTTTCGATTTCCTCGACATGCGCAAGGCCGCAGACTTTGGTCTCGGCATCGATGATGGTGCAAGGGAGGTCTTGGTGGTCAGAGACATTGCCACCAGAATGATGGCAGCTATTCCGACAGAGTCCCGAAACACGGATGACGTAGTCAACGCATTGAAGAGACTCATCGGAAGGCGGAAAGTGAAGATGGCCTACAGTGACGTCGCGCCAGAATTCGACGCAGCAATGAAGGAATTGAGGATACCGTTGGACCATTCGCTACCAGGCAAACCCAACAACAACTCGTTGGCTGAGAGGACGAACCAGGAGATCATCAACACCGTTGCAACATCTCTTCTGCATGCTGGTCTTCCGGCTCAGTATTGGCAGTACGCCATGAACTGCGTTGTTCACAACCTCAACATTGAGGACGTCCTTGGTGACGGTGACTCAGCATGGAAGAGAATGGCAGGTGATGACTTCAAAGGGAAAGCCATCCCATTTGGTGCAAAAGTGTTCTTCAAACCTACAGACACTCGTGTGAGAAAACGTACGACCACAAGTTCGACCCTAAAGGCATACCGGGCATCTTTGCAGGTTACGTCATCACCACGGGTCAGAATTGGTCACGAAAGTATCGAGTGTGGGATATGAAGGAGTTTGCCAACGTGAATCTGTCCATGGATGCGGCAGTTCCACGAAAACTCATGCAACCTTATCAAACAGAGGTCGTTCATCTTTCCGACGAGATCATCTTTCCTCTCAAGATCGAGCGCAAGAGAATGAATGAAACGATCGAAGGCCTCAAGGGTTTTGGACATGGATGCTCTTTTTCTCAAACGCAATAGACCATGGACGTCATTAGATTTTGGACATGGATGCTCTCTTTTCTCAAACGCACTAGACAATGGACGCCATTAGGTTTTGGACATGGATGCTCTCTGTTCTCAAACGCACTAGACCATGGACGTCATTTGGTTTTGGACATGGATGCTCTCTTCTCTCAAACGCACTAGACCATGAACGTCATTAGATTTTGGACATAGATGCTCTCTTGTCTCAAACGCACCAGACCATGGACGTCATTAGGTTTTGGACATGGATGCTTTCTGTTCTCAAACGCACTAAACCATGGACGTCATTAGGTTTTGGACATGGGTGCTCTCTTTTCTCAAACGCACGAGACCACGGACGTCATTAGGTTTTGGACATGGATGCTATCTTTTCTCAAACGCACTACACCATGGACGTCATTAGGTTTTGGACATGGATGCTCTCTGTTCTCAAACGCACTACACCATGGACGTCATTAGGTTTTGGACATGGATGCTCTCTTTTCTCAAACGCATTAGACCATGGACGTCATTAGGTTTTGGACATGGATGCTCTTTTTTCTGAAACACACTACACCATGGACGTTATTATAGGCTTTGGACATGGATGCTCTCTTTTCTCAAACTCACTAGACCATGGACGTCATTAGGTTTTGGACATGGATGCTCTCTTTCTCTCAAACGCAGTAGACCATGGACGCCATTAGGTTTTGGACATGGATGCTCTTTGTTCTCAAACGCAGTAGACCATGGACGTCACTAGATTTTGGACATGGATGCTCTCTGTTCTCAGACGCACTAGACCATGGACGTCATTAGATTTTGGACATGGATGCTCTCTTTTCTCAAACGCACTAGACCATGGACGTCATTAGGTTTTGGACATGGATGCTCTTTTTTCTCAAACGCACTAGACCACGGACGTCGTTAGGTTTTGGACATGGATGCTCTCTTTTCTCGAATTGGACCATGGACGTCATTAGGTTTTGGACATGGATGCTCTCTGTTCTCAAACGCACTAGACCATGGACGTCATTAGGTCTTGGACATGGATGCTCTCTGTTCTCAAACGCACCAGACCATGGACGTCATTAGGTTTTGGACATGGATGCTCTTTTTTCTGAAACACACTACACCATGGACGTTATTATAGGCTTTGGACATGGATGCTCTCTTTTCTCAAACGCACTAGACCATGGACGTCATTAGGTTTTGGACATGGATGCTCTCTTTTCTCAAACGCACGAGACCATGGACGTCACCATGGACGTCATTAGGTTTTGGACATGGATGCTTTCTTTTCTCAAACGCACTAGACCACGGACGTCATTAGGTTTTGGACATGAATGCTCTCTTTTCTCAAACGCACTAAACGCACAAGACCACGATGCGCTGTTGTCGACACGCCGGAAACACCGATGGCAGTTGTGTTCTCGGCAGGTGAACCACACAAAACACCGCACATTCCGCGCTTCTAGAAACGTGGAAAGAGGACACGCCGGAACCACCGGTGGCAGTGGTGTTTTCGGCATGTGACCCACGCAAAACACTGCAAATGCCGGTGGAATTGGCACATGCGAAATGCGCGTTTACAGGTGGTCCGAGCCAATAACAACAAAAGCAGCATCATCAGTTACAGCAACCACAACCACAACGACGACAACAACGACAACAACGACAACAACGACAACAACGACAACAACCACAACAACCACAACAACCACAAGAACCACAAGAACCACAACAACCACAACAACCACAACGACAGCAACAGCAAATACCAACAGCACCAACACCAACACCAACACCAACAACACCAACACCAACAACACCACCACCAACAACACCAACACCAACAACCCCAACACCAACAACCCCAACCCCAACCCCAACACCAGCACCAACAACACCAACACCAACAACACCAACACCAACAACACCAACACCAACAACAACACACCAACAATACCAACACCAACAACACCAACACCAACAACCCCAACACCAACAACCCCAACCCCAATACCAACTCCAACACCAACACCAACACCAACAGCAACACCAACACCACCACCACCAGCACCACCACCAGCAACAACAGCAGCAAAAATCAGCAGCAACAGCAACAACAGCAACTGGAACCTCAACTTCAATTTTACTTTCAACAGGACCAATCGCACAAACGCAAGCCCAGAATCATCCCCGCGTGTGAAGCTGATGTTGCTTCTTGCCGATGGCCCCCGTCTCCCGCTCACCGGCTCCCATTCCCGGCACAATCCGGGTATCGTTTTTCTTAGTGGTGGATCCAGTCGTCCTGCGCTCGTCTTCCATATCGTAACCTCCGGTTTCCCTTTACCCTCATTCCTTACCCCTCGCCGCCCCGCCTCTTCCTTCCACCATCATGTCCTTATCTCGCCACCGGTTTGCTCCAACCATAATGGTTTGCCGCGGATAAGGAGTCGCTCCGCCCTTTCCTGTACACCGCACCAAACACGAACCCAATCGACCCCCAGAAGGTTTTCAGACAACAGCGCACGAAGATTCGAAGGTGCGGAAGTGGGACACGAAGTTCGCGTCAAGGCATGGTTCATCAAAGAATGAGATGCGCGACCTCAATGATCAGTCCAATTGAGGCTTTCCGGGTCTTGCAAGCGATCGAATCATATGGCGGGGTGCCTACTCGTGTTGCAGGTTTTCGTGTTGCGAAACGCATCTCCTCTTCAGGGTGTCGTCCAGCTCCGGTTGCAGCGTGCTTGCCGACAGGCAGACATGTATCAGGGTCTTGCGTTGCGCGTGCAGCAATGTGACAGGCAGGCTGGAGCCATCAGTGGAAAGGCACGCGACATGTGCCAAATACAAGTTGACAACACACTGCGCATGCTGTGCTTGGGATGATGGTCACTGGAGGGCCGACGACGAGGATAGCTGGTGCCAGTTCATGTGAGCGAATGATTCGATACTGGCCCGTCGACGAGCAGCAGTCGGTATTTCCAGGTAGGGCAACAGCGATTGGACATCCAAGACCAAATTGTTTAAGATGATGGTATACTGAGTCATGGTCATGCCCCTTGCTGTGTGGGGTGATGGCATTAGTAATATCCTGGAGCCATGCTTCTGGATGGAATTCGAGACGAGGTTCTGCAAAGCGTTAGCTTGGTGTTTACTCGCTTTGGTTGCTCAGCGCCCAAGCAAATATTTGCAGTAAACTGGGTGGCGGGGTATGCGGGACGTTTACGTTGACAAGCTCTAATCTGCCAGATCCCGGAAGGCTTGATGTGAGCTGTCAGCCAAAGCTGTCGCACCAAATTGGGAGATGCCAGCTCTAGGTGGCATCAGAAGCACCTCGCATTTTACACCCGAGCGAGCCTGAGAAGGGGCATCTGTGCCGAATAAAGTGGGATAATTTCGTCATTTCGTTGACATGGCTATGGTTGTGGGATCGTCTTCTGATAGTCAGCATGTTCGAAATCTTTACCCGCAGTTTGTCGTCGAGCACTTAATGGTCGAGCCACTGACAATCTTTGTATGCAAGCAGCATCCATCGTGGCAACAGCTGTACAGCTAAAGGGTCTGTAATTCAGCCGCCCTTTGCGAACATGCCTTTGAGCAAGTGCTAAACTGAAAAACGGGCTTCCGATGGCACCGCCGCATGAAGGACTGAGTTGTAACATGTCGGGCCACTGCATCTGTTTGCGCATTCTCTTGTGGCTTCGAATGCAAGGCCTCAAGATTTTGGGATCTGGGCATTGCAAACAAGGACGGAGTGGAGTAGCGCATGGTGCACTGCATCAGGAGATTTCTGGGGGCTGGTCGTGCAATACGCGCAGGCCAGCAGCACGACTATTTAAGTTGAAATTTTGGAACTATGGAAATACAGCGCTGCGAAGATGCATAATTCCCGAATGCAGGCCGTCTCTGAGTGGGTGGCTCCGCGTGTGGAGGTGCCGTGCGAGAAGCGATTCGCACATGAGGCCAGACGGTAGCTGCAGGTATCGGGTTCGAGGGTGTGAAATGGTTTCGTGTAATGCATTCCCCACTCAGATTTGCATAGGGGCCGAAGCAGATCAGAGGGCTTCGGGTTTGTGGGATTCGGGGTTAGGGGCTGCGTGGCTCTCTGAACGGGCCCCCCGATCAGGTATGCATCACCGCCTGATCCGTTCTAAATGATCCGATTTTTGTGATACTTGAACCCAGGACCTGGAAAGATCATCTGTGCTGGCGGAGCACCATCAGGCAGGCAAAAGAGCACGGTCAGGATGTCTGTTTGACTTCCACCTTGAATCACAGAGCCATTTCACCGCTCCACGAAGCTGTGGCTTGTTGTTGAGGTTGACGACAGTGCGTTGACCTGTCGAGAGCAGTGGGAACTCATTGGTTATGTGGAAAGTCTGTTGCAGATGGTGAAGCACGAGCAGCGCCTTCGAAATGATGCAGAGACACGCTGTGCCAACTTATCTGCTGAGCTTGCGGAATGGAAAGAGCGCGCGTCGAACATGGGACCAGACCAAGAAGCAGATCAAATCAACACCGGCAACACCTTGTTCTCCATACGGCGTCGCGGGGATGAGACTGAATCAGGTAATGTTCCCGAAAGCGATGTTTCTGGGTGCCTGTGATGAAGAATCTTCCTTGTCCTACCTACTGGCTTCAAGCTGTCTTGGGCGTTGGCGGCTCATGTATGTTGCGAGTTAACCGAGGTCCCGTTTGGATCCCAGCGCGCAGACGCGGATGGATTTGGGAGGCGTGTTGCAGGACGGCATAGAGGCAGAATGCATTGCGACGGTTCCTGCTGGGCTCTGTCATGTGCAGTCTGTGAGGTCTCCTACCTCGACTGCATCACGGGGTGGTTCACGGGAATTTTGACTTTCACCTGGACTGCTGAGTATGGGCAGGTCTTGGTCGCAGGCGTAGGAGGGCAAAGTTTTGGTGTTGCGGATGCCGCGATGGAGGCTTCCCACAGCGACTGGCTCTGCGTGTTGGCTTTGCGGCTTGGCAAGTGAGGATGAACTCAAATCTAAGATCGCAAACGGCAAGCAAGGCCCAGCTTGCTGGATTTCCTATGCGTGCCTCAGCTGAGCTTCTCTTGAAAGCTTGAAGATGTCCAAGACCTGCCCCTTTCCATGACAGGCTCCGGAGGTCATCCATCTTCGTGCGAGTTCCCTCCGGAGCATCGACCTGAAGGTAACTGGACACTCTTTTGGGGTTTAGGGTTTAGGACGAGAGCCCTGCCACCTCTCGGCACCGACTTGGAAGTGTGCATCGCTCTTTGGAAAGGCTTTGGCGCGGCATTCCCTGCAGCTCGCTGACTTTTCCAGGCCAATATTAGTGCTGGAATGAGGGTTCTAGAAAGCCCACGGGATTCCACGCATGGAAGCAAGCAGCTTCAGGTCATCGTCTTTGATCGCATACGCGGAAACCTTTTCAAGGCTGTCATATGATCCAGACCGCGCCTATGCTATGTTGAAGAGCGACGTGGAATTTCAGAAGGCGTTCTTTTGCGCCTCGGCGTATCATCAACATTGCACTTCGCGAGCTTGTTCAATCTGCCCTTTGGCACTCTGAGGTCAATGGTACATCAATTTCCACCTCCATGAATGTGAGCTTCAATATGTGATGGACCCATTGTTGGATGCATTGCTGGGCCACTGCCGCATAATCTTACGGGGAGAATCTGGTTCTATGCAAGCCTGCCAAGCAGCACACAAAGTGCTGAGCACATTGAGTCAGGCCTACTCCCCATTCGTGGCACGCCGCATCTCCAGCTTTATGCTGGATGTGCTGGACTTGCTTCTGGCTTCGCCGGTTGGGGCCTGCAGGTCGTGGTATCAGAAAAAATGGGCTTTTGAGCACGTGGTGCATATCTTGGACTCGCTGGGTCCAGAAGAGCGTCAACGCTGGTTTTCAACTTTGACTTGTGTGATGGGCGGAGAAGGAGACATCGAGCGTCAGCGAATGGTCTTCGCTTGCATAGAGCTGCTATGGCGCGCTGACAGCACCCCGTGGGAGAGTTACTGCACCTGCATTAGTATCCTGGAGCAGGTCTGTCAAGATGATGGGCCTTTGAGGGCTCTGCTGCAGGACGCATGATGTTGCTGCGTCACGGCTCGAAAATATTCTCTGAGGACAGCCCGGGAAAGTGCTTTGTGTGGAGCACCCCTGACACACAGTCAGTTGGATTTAACAGTCTTGATAACATACAGTAGATTGGACGAGAATATGGCATGTACATGTATTCTACCAGCCCTGAATCCCTAAACCAGTTTCTCTAGCCAACCTAACCCTGTCAGCAACTCTGCGGCTCCCTGTGCCTGGGCTTAACATCGTACTCGTAGCCGTCGCGACGCACAAGAAGAAAGCAACAACTTTGTGCACACAGCCTGGCATCACGCGCTGGCCAAGAACGTGCGGACCTGCGGAAGGGGGGAGCGTGGGGGAATGTGGGGGAGTACTGAGTAGCTTCAGCCGTGCAAAGCGCGAGCATGTCGTTTAAAGTCGAAACCCAAAACCCCCAAAAAAAGTGCTAAAAAACTGCTAAACTGCTGCCCTAAACCCTGCAGACGGCCCGCAGACGGCGATTCCTTTTCCCTCGGCTCCAGGCCTCCATCGAAGTAGTGCAAGGTACTGCCTCACATTTTACACCCGAGCGAGCCTGAGAAGGGGCATCTGTGCCGAATAAAGTGGGATAATTTCGTCATTTCGTTGACATGGCTATGGTTGTGGGATCGTCTTCTGATAGTCAGCATGTTCGAAATCTCTACCCGCAGTTTGTCGTCGAGCACTTAATGGTCGAGCCACTGACAATCTTTGTATGCAAGCAGCATCCATCGTGGCAACAGCTGTACAGCTAAAGGGTCTGTAATTCAGCCGCCCTTTGCGAACATGCCTTTGAGCAAGTGCTAAACTGACAAACGGGCTTCCGATGGCACCGCCGCATGAAGGACTGAGTTGTAACATGTCGGGCCACTGCATCTGTTTGCGCATTCTCTTGTGGCTTCGAGTGCAAGGCCTCAAGATTTTGGGATCTGGGCATTGCAAACAAGGACGGAGTGGAGTAGCGCATGGTGCACTGCATCAGGAGATTTCTGGGGGCTGGTCGTGCAATACGCGCAGGCCAGCAGCACGACTATTTAAGTTGAAATTTTGGAACTATGGAAATACAGCGCTGCGAAGATGCATAATTCCCGAATGCAGGCCGTCTCTGAGTGGGTGGCTCCGCGTGTGGAGGTGCCGTGCGAGAAGCGATTCGCACATGAGGCCAGACGGTAGCTGCAGGTATCGGGTTCGAGGGTGTGAAATGGTTTCGTGTAATGCATTCCCCACTCAGATTTGCATAGGGGCCGAAGCAGATCAGAGGGCTTCGGGTTTGTGGGATTCGGGGTTAGGGGCTGCGTGGCTCTCTGAACGGGCCCCCCGATCAGGTACGCATCACCGCCTGATCCGTTCTAAATGATCCGATTTTTGTGATACTTGAACCCAGGACCTGGAAAGATCATCTGTGCTGGCGGAGCACCATCAGGCAGGCAAAAGAGCACGGTCAGGATGTCTGTTTGACTTCCACCTTGAATCACAGAGCCATTTCACCGCTCCACGAAGCTGTGGCTTGTTGTTGAGGTTGACGACAGTGCGTTGACCTGTCGAGAGCAGTGGGAACTCATTGGTTATGTGGAAAGTCTGTTGCAGATGGTGAAGCACGAGCAGCGCCTTCGACATGATGCAGAGACACGCTGTGCCAACTTATCTGCTGAGCTTGCGGAATGGAAAGAGCGCGCGTCGAACATGGGACCAGACCAAGAAGCAGATCAAATCAACACCGGCAACACCTTGTTCTCCATACGGCGTCGCGGGGATGAGACTGAATCAGGTAATGTTCCCGAAAGCGATGTTTCTGGGTGCCTGTGATGAAGAATCTTCCTTGTCCTACCTACTGGCTTCAAGCTGTCTTGGGCGTTGACGGCTCATGTATGTTGCGAGTTAACCGAGGTCCCGTTTGGATCCCAGCGCGCAGACGCAGATGGATTTGGGAGGCGTGTTGCAGGACGGCATAGAGGCAGAATGCATTGCGACGGTTCCTGCTGGGCTCTGTCATGTGCAGTCTGTGAGGTCTCCTACCTCGACTGCATCACGGGGTGGTTCACGGGAATTTTGACTTTCACCTGGACTGCTGAGTATGGGCAGGTCTTGGTCGCAGGCGTAGGAGGGCAAAGTTTTGGTGTTGCGGATGCCGCGATGGAGGCTTCCCACAGCGACTGGCTCTGCGTGTTGGCTTTGCGGCTTGGCAAGTGAGGATGAACTCAAATCTAAGATCGCAAACGGCAAGCAAGGCCCAGCTTGCTGGATTTCCTATGCGTGCCTCAGCTGAGCTTCTCTTGAAAGCTTGAAGATGTCCAAGACCTGCCCCTTTCCATGACAGGCTCCGGAGGTCATCCATCTTCGTGCGAGTTCCCTCCGGAGCATCGACCTGAAGGTAACTGGACACTCTTTTGGGGTTTAGGGTTTAGGACGAGAGCCCTGCCACCTCTCGGCACCGACTTGGAAGTGTGCATCGCTCTTTGGAAAGGCTTTGGCGCGGCATTCCCTGCAGCTCGCTGACTTTTCCAGGCCAATATTAGTGCTGGAATGAGGGTTCTAGAAAGCCCACGGGATTCCACGCATGGAAGCAAGCAGCTTCAGGTCATCGTCTTTGATCGCATATGCGGAAACCTTTTCAAGGCTGTCATATGATCCAGACCGCGCCTATGCTATGTTGAAGAGCGACGTGGAATTTCAGAAGGCGTTCTTTTGCGCCTCGGCGTATCATCAACATTGCACTTCGCGAGCTTGTTCAATCTGCCCTTTGGCACTCTGAGGTCAATGGTACATCAGTTTCCACCTCCATGAATGTGAGCTTCAATATGTGATGGACCCATTGTTGGATGCATTGCTGGGCCACTGCCGCATAATCTTACGGGGAGAATCTGGTTCTATGCAAGCCTGCCAAGCAGCACACAAAGTGCTGAGCACATTGAGTCAGGCCTACTCCCCATTCGTGGCACGCCGCATCTCCAGCTTTATGCTGGATGTGCTGGACTTGCTTCTGGCTTCGCCGGTTGGGGCCTGCAGGTCGTGGTATCAGAAAAAATGGGCTTTTGAGCACGTGGTGCATATCTTGGACTCGCTGGGTCCAGAAGAGCGTCAACGCTGGTTTTCAACTTTGACTTGTGTGATGGGCGGAGAAGGAGACATGGAGCGTCAGCGAATGGTCTTCGCTTGCATAGAGCTGCTATGGCGCGCTGACAGCACCCCGTGGGAGAGTTACTGCACCTGCATTAGTATCCTGGAGCAGGTCTGTCAAGATGATGGGCCTTTGAGGGCTCTGCTGCAGGACGCATGATGTTGCTGCGTCACGGCTCGAAAATATTCTCTGAGGACAGCCCGGGAAAGTGCTTTGTGTGGAGCACCCCTGACACACAGTCAGTTGGATTTAACAGTCTTGATAACATACAGTAGATTGGACGAGAATATGGCATGTACATGTATTCTACCAGCCCTGAATCCCTAAACCAGTTTCTCTAGCCAACCTAACCCTGTCAGCAACTCTGCGGCTCCCTGTGCCTGGGCTTAACATCGTACTCGTAGCCGTCGCGACGCACAAGAAGAAAGCAACAACTTTGTGCACACAGCCTGGCATCACGCGCTGGCCAAGAACGTGCGGACCTGCGGAAGGGGGGAGCGTGGGGGAATGTGGGGGAGTACTGAGTAGCTTCAGCCGTGCAAAGCGCGAGCATGTCGTTTAAAGTCGAAACCCAAAACCCCCAAAAAAAGTGCTAAAAAACTGCTAAACTGCTGCCCTAAACCCTGCAGACGGCCCGCAGACGGCGATTCCTTTTCCCTCGGCTCCAGGCCTCCATCGAAGTAGTGCAAGGTACTGCCTCACATTTTACACCCGAGCGAGCCTGAGAAGGGGCATCTGTGCCGAATAAAGTGGGATAATTTCGTCATTTCGTTGACATGGCTATGGTTGTGGGATCGTCTTCTGATAGTCAGCATGTTCGAAATCTCTACCCGCAGTTTGTCGTCGAGCACTTAATGGTCGAGCCACTGACAATCTTTGTATGCAAGCAGCATCCATCGTGGCAACAGCTGTACAGCTAAAGGGTCTGTAATTCAGCCGCCCTTTGCGAACATGCCTTTGAGCAAGTGCTAAACTGACAAACGGGCTTCCGATGGCACCGCCGCATGAAGGACTGAGTTGCAACATGTCGGGCCACTGCATCTGTTTGCGCATTCTCTTGTGGCTTCGAGTGCAAGGCCTCGAGATTTTGGGATCTGGGCATTGTAAACAAGGACGGAGTGGAGTAGCGCATGGTGCACTGCATCAGGAGATTTCTGGGAGCTGGCCGTGCAATACGCGCAGGCCAGCAGCACGACTATTTAAGTTGGAATTTTGGAACTATGGAAATACAGCGCTGCGAAGATGCATAATTCCCGAATGCAGGCCGTCTCTGAGTGGGTGGCTCCGCGTGTGGAGGTGCCGTGCGAGAAGCGATTCGCACATGAGGCCAGACGGTAGCTGCAGGTATCGGGTTCGAGGGTGTGAAATGGTTTCGTGTAATGCATTCCCCACTCAGGTTTGCATAGGGGCCGAAGCAGATCAGAGGGCTTCGGGTTTGTGGGATTCGGGGTTAGGGGCTGCGTGGCTCTCTGAACGGGCCCCCCGATCAGGTATGCATCACCGCCTGATCCGTTCTAAATGATCCGATTTTTGTGATACTTGAACCCAGGACCTGGAAAGATCATCTGTGCTGGCGGAGCACCATCAGGCAGGCAAAAGAGCACGGTCAGGATGTCTGTTTGACTTCCACCTTGAATCACAGAGCCATTTCACCGCTCCACGAAGCTGTGGCTTGTTGTTGAGGTTGACGACAGTGCGTTGACCTGTCGAGAGCAGTGGGAACTCATTGGTTATGTGGAAAGTCTGTTGCAGATGGTGAAGCACGAGCAGCGCCTTCGAAATGATGCAGAGACACGCTGTGCCAACTTATCTGCTGAGCTTGCGGAATGGAAAGAGCGCGCATCGAACATGGGACCAGACCAAGAAGCAGATCAAATCAACACCGGCAACACCTTGTTCTCCATACGGCGTCGCGGGGATGAGACTGAATCAGGTAATGTTCCCGAAAGCGATGTTTCTGGGTGATGAAGAATCTTCCTTGTCCTACCTACTGGCTTCAAGCTGTCTTGGGCGTTGACGGCTCATGTATGTTGCGAGTTAACCGAGGTCCCGTTTGGATCCCAGCGCGCAGACGCAGATGGATTTGGGAGGCGTGTTGCAGGACGGCATAGAGGCAGAATGCATTGCGACGGTTCCTGCTGGGCTCTGTCATGTGCAGTCTGTGAGGTCTCCTACCTCGACTGCATCACGGGGTGGTTCACGGGAATTTTGACTTTCACCTGGACTGCTGAGTATGGGCAGGTCTTGGTCGCAGGCGTAGGAGGGCAAAGTTTTGGTGTTGCGGATGCCGCGATGGAGGCTTCCCACAGCGACTGGCTCTGCGTGTTGGCTTTGCGGCTTGGCAAGTGAGGATGAACTCAAAAATAAGATCGCAAACGGCAAGCAAGGCCCAGCTTGCTGGATTTCCTATGCGTGCCTCAGCTGAGCTTCTCTTGAAAGCTTGAAGATGTCCAAGACCTGCCCCTTTCCATGACAGGCTCCGGAGGTCATCCATCTTCGTGCGAGTTCCCTCCGGAGCATCGACCTGAAGGTAACTGGGAAACATCCGAGGGCTTTGATTGACACTCTTTTGGGGTTTAGGGTTTAGGACGAGAGCCCTGCCACCTCTCGGCACCGACTTGGAAGTGTGCATCGCTCTTTGGAAAGGCTTTGGCGCGGCATTCCCTGCAGCTCGCTGACTTTTCCAGGCCAATATTAGTGCTGGAATGAGGGTTCTAGAAAGCCCACGGGATGCCACGCATGGAAGCAAGCAGCTTCAGGTCATCGTCTTTGATCGCATACGCGGAAACCTTTTCAAGCCTGTCATATGATCCAGACCACGCCTATGCTATGTTGAAGAGCGACGTGGAATTTCAGAAGGCGTTCTTTTGCGCCTCGGCGTATCATCAACATTGCACTTCGCGAGCTTGTTCAATCTGCCCTTTGGCACTCTGAGGTCAATGGTACATCAATTTCCACCTCCATGAATGTGAGCTTCAATATGTGATGGACCCATTGTTGGATGCATTGCTGGGCCACTGCCGCATAATCTTACGGGGAGAATCTGGTTCTATGCAAGCCTGCCAAGCAGCACACAAAGTGCTGAGCACATTGAGTCAGGCCTACTCCCCATTCGTGGCACGCCGCATCTCCAGCTTTATGCTGGATGTGCTGGACTTGCTTCTGGCTTCGCCGGTTGGGGCCTGCAGGTCGTGGTATCAGAAAAAATGGGCTTTTGAGCACGTGGTACCTGCATTAGTATCCTGGAGCAGGTCTGTCAAGATGATGGGCCTTTGAGGGCTCTGCTGCAGGACGCATGATGTTGCTGCGTCACGGCTCGAAAATATTCTCTGAGGACTGTGAAGCTGTTTCTCTGCCTCTGTGGGTTGGTAGAGGCACTGCCAGCTCATCACCATACCTCATTGCATGCTTTGTCGCTTTAGGCTCCTCGAAGTGAAACTCTTGCATTCAAGCCATCCCATCATCAGTAGGGTGAATCTTTGCATTCATGACGATCACCATTCCCAACCTTTTGTTCATTGACCTCCACGGCTGGGTCCGGTTTGAGCATGAACCATGACTGATCGATCCATGCTTTCTGCTTGCACTTGGTTGCCAACCTCTTCTCCGTCCTTCACTTGTGCCATGCTCGGCATGCTTTTTGTCAGTCTACTTGGCAACACCTTCGACAACTCAACAGGAACGTCCTTGAGTCGGTCGGGCGAAAACGAAACGCGCTTCTCGCGCGCTGTGAACCCGGATGAGATACCCATCTCCTTTCTTGATTTCGTACCTCTATGAGTCAGCACTCATGATCATCTCCACAGGCAACCCGGACACCGAGAGCTGATGATTTTTTGATGTGGATGCTGGTTGTGTCTAAGCAACCCGCCAAGATACCTACACGGCAACTGCACTGTCACCGAACACCAGGCTCCATCGAGGTGTTGTCTGAAGTTGGTTCAGGCACTGTAAACACGCGTCCAACTCAACGAGCTTTCAACTAAATTTCCATGCAAGCTTGCTATTGCCTGAACGAACCTATGCAAAACTGCGAGAACGGAGCGAGGCTTGCTCCGTTCTTGACACTGCAGCTGCAAAGATTTCATTCCACTCTCCACACCCGACATAGGTTTGTCTGGTGATACAGGTCATCCAGCATGAAACGAGTTGAAAGCAGCGTACATGTAGTTGCAACCGTCTCCCAATGGAGCCGCGTGCCCTGTGCCACGCACCGAAAATGCGCCCTTCATGAGGCTTGTCTCACTTGGCGTATCCCGTAGCCGTCACCTCAATAGGCTACCGCTGCTACAGCACACAAGCCCCGGGTCGGTAAGATCGGTCTTGCAAAAAGAATGGGAAAGCGCTTTACACAGGGGACTTAGGTCTTCTCGATGAGGAGGTTTGCTTGTTCAAGCTTGCATGGGCGTCGACATAACTTGTATACCCCGCAAAGGTTCCAGACGAAGCGCATGCAATCCGGCCAGCCATGGGCTCAACTTGAGAATCACGAGGTCTCGGAGCATCCGGGATTTCCTCACGTTCATCCTTCTAACTCAGCCTTCAGCCTGAAGCGCAAAGTCTGCAACACAACAGGCTTTATTCTGCACATTGCAAGAGGGCTCTGGCGTGTTCCGGAATCCGCAATTGCGGGATACGTTGTACCAAGTTGCAATGGCCGCTGCCTCAACTTCCTCGCACAACTTTGTCTGTCAAGTACTTACTTGTTGTTTCACGAGAAAGCCTTAAATCCAAAAGTCTACAACCCCTACTTTGGGTGGGCCCTCCGGCCATTGAGGTGCTGGGTCTTGACTGTCTCGACTTCTTTCATCAGCCCAGCCACTTGCACGAGGCTCCGGGGAGATTGTGCTGAATTGCGCTTTGTCGAGTGCAAGACAGGAAAGACGTTGCAAATTCATCTGGTGATTTCGGCACATGCAGGCCGCTGTGCTAGATAGACACAGGCCTGAACAACTTATGTCCGCCAGAATCGTGGAACGGAGCGTTGCGTGCATGCCTGAAAGTTGTTGGCCTTTCGGCCTTTGTCAGATTTTATACCGTATCTGAACTTGGGAAATTTACAGCAGAGACGTCTGCCTGAAATTTGCCATGCGATCCGGCAGCTCTTCGGTGCCCCATGTGTGCAGGAGTACGGAAAAGTACAGAGTAGACACGCCTCCGAAACCTGGGCCCCCACAGCCATACTCTTTGAGCTTGAGATTGCGCTGCAATTGAGTCCAGATGGTCCGATGATGTCTGGAATCCGGCATGGACGTGACTCAGCCCCAGACCTCGTCTAGTTTATCTCCATTTCTGTTTTGTTTGTGTAGACTTGTGCACATGCTTGCCCTCAGAGCCACAGGGACGCATCCGTGGGTGCTGTTACGAAGACTTTTGTGTACTGAGTAGGTTGTGTGATTGGTGAGTGACGGCACTGACTGGAGGGTCAAGCTAGCATGTCCTGATCTTGTGACAGTGCTTTGCAAAGGGAGGGGCTGCAGAGGAGTCAGGTAGTAGATGTAGCTAGGTATGATACCGCCGGTACTGTGCTAGGTGAAGCAGCCGCCCTCCTAGAACAAATCCATTCCGAGCTCGCCCACAATCTCGCAGCCAAGAACAGGGAAAGCTTCTGTAATGAGGGGAATGCTAGGTAGCCCCTTTCGTTGTTGCTCAGCTTCTAGATGCGAGAGTGGCTCCTTCTACCGCGGCTGATCCTGTGGAGAAGTACTTGTGGAAGCTAGTAGTGTTGGTGGTGGAATCTCCGTGGTGTTGGTGGTGGAATCCCCGCAGGAGTAGCAAGCCCAAAAGCCGCGGCCCGCCGGATGCCCGCAACGGAGCTGCCCCTATTTGTGAACTGGGGCTGCCGTTCTCGGTGCCATGTCCCAAGGTCTAGGGGCGAAGCAAAACTGTGCAGCACGAAGGAACGAAGACGTTGGGCAGAATGCCCACCCCTCCAGAGATGCCTGAAGCAGTGGTTCAGCAAGCCACCTCACAGAGATCTTGCAGCTCCAGTTCGCAAGCCTAGCCTTTAGCTTGGCGAAGCTGGCAATGTCCAGCTCTCCTAGCAGCGTCCTAGTAGCGCAGTACCCAGAATCTTCGAGGAAGGGAGGTCCAACAGGGACTGCCCGCCCCACATTGCACGGCTGCCACGTAGTTGTGGCCTCGCCCATCACAGAGATGCTCTGGCAAGCTGGCTTCATAGTGTCTGCACGTGCGAAGAAATTGAATCGTGCTAGTCGGGTCGAATGCCATGTTTGGGCAAGCACGAGGTCAGATATGTAAAGAAGGCAAGGTGGGCGGTCCGCCATTGCGATGGAGTTTCATCGTCCGTGGCCTGATGTCAGTTGCCGTTGCCTGACATTTCTTGGAAAAAGAGCGAGCTTTATGCTTCAGAACAGCTTTGAAAGTAAACTGCATGGTTCCTCGACTGGATGCGGGCTTGATCTCATCCCGCGCATCCACGTTTCCATTCGTGCATCCTAACTCAGTTCCTCTTCGCACTGCACGGTGCCAGCACGTATTCTCAGGTTCTCATTGCACTGGCTGACCGTTGGCCGTTTCGGTTGTATCGGAGGGTGCTTGGTTCTGGTAGCATCCTGGCATCTGCCGGCACAGCCCGCGGCCTCCCTCTCAAGCTTCAGACCATGACCGGGGCGTCAACAAAAAGACAAAAAGGGAGGCCAGCAAGTGCATCGTGATGAGTTCAGCGGTCAGACCTGTGAGGTTTGCATGTTTCATAGAACCGACCTGGACTGCGGCTATCGATGCGTCCACACGACGAGAGCAGATGCCGCGCTCTCCATGCTGTGAAATCTACAAGAGAGTCTCGGCCGACTGAGATTCCTTCCATGAAAATCAGATGTTCTTGAATGCCTGTTCTTGTCCCAGCTCAAATGTTGACACTTCAGAGCACAACATTGGACATGCCGTGCGGCCTACTCCAAATAAGCACGCCGCGGTAGACCTCCAACACTTCACGGCTCACTGCAGTGTGGGACCAAAGTTGGACAACCAACGCAGACATTCAAGATCCTGGCAGTAACATCCCATGATTTGCACCAGAGCATGTCGAAGTGCCCATGAACAGTATATCTTAGACAGCACGATGATTCATGGCACTGGGGCGGTTCGCGCTTGCCCCTGATACACGCCTGTGATGGACTTAGTCGTCGGGCCTCCTGCGAAAGTGGTCTGAGTCTGGGCCTTGGGCCTGACAGGTGAGGCGGATGGTTGCCGCCAAACATGGCTCGCAGAGTCCGGGTCTTTGGAGCCAGAACTTCAGACACGTGATACGCTGTGCCGGCTGTTGTCTCGGTTGAGGCTAGAAGCAGCTCCGACAGGCGAAGTCGCAGCCGCAGCGGCAGCAGCCGGAGCAGAAAGAGCAAGAGCCGCAGCAGCAGCACAAGCAGCAAAAGCAAGAAGAGCAGGAGCAGGAAGAGCAGGAAAGCCAGCAGCCAAAGTGGGAGCCGAAGGAGGCGGAGCCGCAGCCGAAGTCGGAGCCGGAGGTCCTCGTCCAGTCCCTAAAGTGGCGCGTGAATCCTTGTTGGCAGCCCCTTCAGGAGCCCGAGCCGCAGTCGGCGGAACCGCCGAGCGAGGGCCGGAAAACCCAGAAATCCGGAGATGCCCAAAGCGGCTCCTGGCTCTTTATCGGATCACGCGCCCCTTGTCCTCTTTGTCAGAGGCGCGTGGTGGGAGGCGCCGTGCGGAGCGGAGCCGCAGCCGCTCCAAGCGCCGGAACCGCTCGAGCAAGCGCCGCTCCAAGAGCCCCGGGCCAGGAGCGGAGGGAGAAAGAAAAGGGGAAGAGAGAGAGAGCAAACGAAAGAAAGGGGACAAAGCGAGAGACAAGGAGAGAGAGAGAGAGAGAGAGAGACCTTTCGTGCCGATGGCACCTTTCTTGCAACACAGGCGTCCCGCAACAGTCGGGGGCGCGAACGCGCGCGGTGTAGGGGGTAAAGCCCCTGCACCACAACCCTGGCGAAAGAAAGAGAGAGAGAGAGAGGGATGGGGGGGCCCTAGTGGCCGAGGGGTCTTAACAGCCCCTCATGCCCGGCGGAAGAAGAGAGGGAGGGAGGTGAAACTTCCGGGGTAAACCCTCCTACACCATAGGCCTGGCGAAAAGAAAAGAAAAGAGAAAGTTTTCTCTGAGCTGAGAGCAGGAGCCAAGTCGGCCTCAGCCTCGGCGACCTCCGAGGCGCGCTGCTTTCGGTTGGGGCGCGGGAGAGAGGGTGCGGATGCCCCAAACACGCTTCGCTTGGCTTCGCTTTCGACGCGCATTTCGTTCTCGCGCAATGGAGGCCTACGGTGGCGCCTACTCCTTGTATGGCTGGGGATCAGGCACCTCCAGACCCGGTGCCAGAAGCCACAAACACTTCAGCATCTCAGGTTACAGAAGCTGGAGCGTCTCGCCCCCGGAGTTCAGCTTCGGCTTGAGCTTTCACTGTGTCTTTGGGCTTTGTGAGCTCTGAGGCTTGGCCTGCCAGCCTGACACGTTTGCTTCCGTTTCTAGCGCTTCGCGTAGCTGCTCGGAGCTTCTCCAGGAGAGCTCCTACTACTCGGGCTATTCGGCAAGTCGCCCGGTCAGCTTTGCTCCAAGCGCTTTTTGAGAGGTGCTCGACCAAGGCTTACCAGGGGTACCAATACACGCAGCGCGACTACGCCACGGAGAAGCCGGAGAATTACATGGCGTTCGCATCGCACTCAGATATGCTTGAAGTTTGTACTCTAACCCCCGTCAGATACCGAGCGCACATCAGATACTATCCCCATCAGATACCTAGCTACTGTTTAGAGGTTAGAGGATGTCCGCGGAGCAGATTTTACATTAGATACATACTGGTAGAGGTGGACGTTTCCGCCCGTAAGATACTACCTGTCCCCGTCAGATACTTGCTGCTCAGAGGTCAGAGGTATCCGCCCGTCATATATCCAGTGGTATTCAAGGTTAGAGGATTCCACCCGTCAGATGCTATCTATCTCTTCCCCCCCTTGCAGTCCCCAGCCGCAGAAGATCCGAGGTGCAGCAGCACGTCAGAGAGGGTAAGAACGGCACGGAGGTGACCCTCAGCAACAACATGTGTGGAGAGCCTGGAGGGTTCGAACCCTGCATCGCCCAGTGCTGTTTGGCTGTGGCTGAGCAAGGCCAAGACAAACACGTTGATGATCTGCTGCTTTGCATCGAGCTTTGGGCTCAGAGAAGCTCTCATCCCAAGGCCCTCTCAAGGCCCAAGGGACCCCCCCCCCAAGGGCCTAGCTGGTCCACACGAGGTCGTGGCTTGGACGGCAGTATGGACGAAGCAGCGCCCAGCAGCTTGCCGAGCATGCTCCAGTACTGCAATACGGCGCATGCGTATTGTTTCTTTGTCTCGAAAACTCCTCTGTGGTTGGGTTCTCGTTTAGTGCTCTAACACGACGTGCGCGATATCGGACCCTGTCTGGACGGAAGAGGTTTAGAAGTGGTTTAGATGACTAGACTCGGTGGATGGACGTGGACGCGGGTGGTGAAATAGATGGTGGTATGGCCGGAGGCTGGATCGGCCTGTCTGGGGTTGGTTCTCGAACATGGGTGGAGAGCGCCACATCGGATGCTCGGGCGGTGTGTGGGGGGCGGTGTGCAACAAGCCGGGGAGCGATGGCCAGGCGTGCAAGACAAGGGGTGGAGCCCCATACGGGGTGTGCGGGCGGTGTGCGGGGGTGACGTGTGCAATATCGGGTCATCGGGCGGTGCGCGGACGAGGCGTGCAAAACAAGGGTTGTAGTGCGAGAACGGGTGCGCGGGCAGTGTGCGACTTTCCATTCTTGCATCACTTTCTTCAATGGGGTTTTCGCGCGCCCGGATTGACCTTGTTTTGCGCAGGCCGTGGCAGCTGGGAACTTTGGACCTCTCGTTGTCACCGCCTTGGCTCGACTCACAGCATTTTAAAGATAATTTGAAGAAAGCCTTAGGAACGGGCTGTCCGACGACAGCGTCGCCCGCATTGCAGACCGGCTTCGGCAGCTGCATGTTCGGGTGACCGATCTGCCTGGGGGGCTTCCTCCTGCAAGCGGCCGCTTTGAGGTACGATGCTTGGACTTGACCGGCAACAAAGCCGGGACGAAAGGCCAGACCAGAGCCTGAGATGCGGCAGTGCAGTAGCGTCTTCTTCGTTTCTTTCCTGAGGGCTCGTGGCATTGGAAGCCTATCTTTGGAACTGCTCGGAGCCGTTCCAAGAGATCTCTCTTGCGGACAACGAGATTGTGGTGGAGGCAGCGCCGGCTGTCGGCTCTGTGATTCTTGAGCAACGGTGGTGCTGCACTCGGAATGCAGACCGCAGGCTGGCTGTGGCGAGGACAATCCTGTCTCCTCCTTCCTCCGCTGCCTTTACAACCACCCGAACTATCCACGAAAGACGAGGCGGAGGGTGGCACGTGCTCACCGGCCAAGAGCCCAAGAGCGTGCGCCTCGCCTCGCAGTTCCGACGCCGGGGTCTTGATCCACCCTCTTGTCCTCCGGCTGGGCGAGCACCCGAGAGTTTTGAGACTGGCAGAGATGGAGGGCTCAAAGTTCGGTGGCAGGAAAGAACCGCATCGCGGACCTTCCAGGGCTCCTCCGAGACATCCGGACAAAGGCGGGGCGGCGGCGGGGATCGCTGTTCTCTTGCCTGCGTTGCTTCGTGTCTCTGCTGTTCGAGGTGGGCGGCCGGGCCCGCTTCCGCAGATCCGCGGAGGTCGAGGGCACAGGAAATCTTGGGGGGGGAAGTTCGGTTATACTGGGCGTAAACGACCTGGAGGCCTACAAGGAGCCCGCCGAGTCAGAGGAGTTCCTGCAGGGCGCCTGAAGTCTCTGAGCGGGGGGAGCACCCGCTCGACTCGGCTCTGAGACTCTGCTCAGGTCCGTGCACATCGCGGATCTCCCCGAAGAGGGCGAAGCCCGGGAAGAGGCGGAGCCCGAGGCGGAGGCGGCGGAGGCCTTGGCCCTTGGCTCCGCGGGAACTCCGCGTGCTCCATGTTTCTCTGGGCTGCCTCTTCAGGACTCGGCCTGGAAGCGGCGCCAGCGCCGTCGCAAGGCTAAAGAACTGAGCACCAAGGATGAGCAGGACGCAAAGGAGAGCCCGAAGTCCGAGGAGAGCGAGGACGAGAAGCCTCGCAAGACGGAGGAAGGCAAGGAAGGTAAGAAGAAGAAGGTGAAGAAGGCGAGCTCCTCGGGGCTCCACTGGCCTCCAGCAAGCCTCGCGAGAAGATTTTCTGCCTGAGGAGAACGGCAAGAGCAAGAAAAAGAAGAAGAAGAGAAGCAAGCGGAATGTCTCGCAAGAGGTTACAGAGGTCCAGGCTCAGGTGTGTTTCGAATCCCATCTCTGCTTGTGTCGCCGTCAGGAGAACGGCAAAGAGCAGACGCAGACGCAGACAGGTCCCGGTTCGGATGCGGAAACAGAGGAAGGCGAGGAAGAGAACAGCGACGAGGCCAGGCAAGAAGGAAGAGGGCAGAGTTTCGTCGGCTGAAAGCTCTCTTCTCTCGCTGAGGTCGACGCTGAAGCCCCGGAGCCCGTCGAGCCCGTCGAGCCCGTCGAGGCAGAGGTGCCGGAGCCCGCGGAGCCCGTGGAGCCCGGCTCCTCCAAGCCGGCGTCCCGGAGAGCCTGCAGCACTCCGCAGCTGAGTTTCTGGGAGCTTCAACATCAGTCGATCAGATGCCATGCATGAAGTGGCGTAGCGACTTTGTTTGCTGCCAAGGCCTAGCAAGCCTGCGCGAGCCTTCTCCCCCTCGGCGCTCTCATCGGAGGCAGGATGGTCCAAACTGTCCTAACTTCGTATCATGCGAGGGCGCAGTAGATGCTGTGCAGGATCAATCCCGCCTGAAGAAGGAGACGGCGGAGAGACTCAGGCAGCCGTTTCACGGTGTCGTTCTGCCTTTGCAGGGCCGCGCGACGGCGACAGATCAAAAGGAGAGGTGAGGCCCAGCAAGCAGACGAGGTTGTGCGCTGCGGGTGAGGCTGATGGAGGGTCTGGTGGAGAGCATCGGAGAAAGTGCTCTGGGGAAGCTGGCCGAGCTGACGGTGCGACTCCAACGGTTCGATGTTCATGTCAGACCTTCATCGCATGCAAGGTGCGACTGCTGGTGAGCGGCAAGCGGTCGGAGGACATGATGTCGGAGCTGAAGCCATTTGCTCGAGCCTCAACCATGTTCCGCAAGGTTGCCACTCGGTGTTCCGTGTAGAACACGTGTATAGGCCGGGTCTGTATTTATGCATGTAATTACATACGTATGTGATGTATTGAGTGTGCGTGTGAGTGGGTGAGCAAGTTAGAAAGCAAGACACAGACAAAGAAAGATTCAAGGACAAAGACAGAAATAGATAAAGACAGCACGAGCAGAAGAAGGACGCGAATCAGGAAATAGAGGCATGACTACATAAAGTAAGAAGGTACGAAAGAAAGAAACAACGAACTAAACAACGAAGTACCAGTAAATCAATAAAGAACGACAGGAACAAGGAAGTAGCTACAATACGCAAGAGCGAAATAGCGATAGCACGACCGAGCGCAATAAAGAAACATTGGCTAAGGAAAGAGCGAAGACGCATAGACAAACGTAAAGAACAAGATAAAACAGAAATACACAAAAACCCGGACATCGGGAAATGAAGACGTTGACACCATGTGTCTTGACGTGGTGCGTAGGTACATTTGTCGGTTCGTGTGCATGTGAACGCACGCCGTTCACGCAGGAGGAGTGTAGCCCTTTTCAGGAAGCAAGTGGGAAGTTCAGAAAGCTTTTTCAGGAAACTATGATGTTTTTTTCGGTCAGTTGCTTGGGCTTTTTCGGTTGGAAGCAGCAACTATTTTTCGTTTAGGGCTTAGGGATTGGGTTTAGAGTGTAAGCTTTGAGGCTTGGGTTTAGGGTTTCGGGTTTGGGTTTAGGGTTCAGTTAGGGTTTAGGGTTTATGGTTTCCTGAACAAGCAGCTGAGCTGTACGTCTGATAAAGCTCCTGCACATTCCTGCAAAAAACAGTTCATTTTACTGAGAACGGCGCTGCATATGGTGAACATGGTTCCGTGAACATCCCACTGTGTGCATAGACTATACAGGTGCTTTTCTCTGTCTTCTCTCTCTTCTCTCTCTGCTCTCTCTTCTCTCTCTTCTCTCTCTTCGCTCTCATCACTCTCTTCTCCCCCTCCTCTCTCTCCTCTCTCGCTCTCTCTCTCTCTCTCGCGCTCTCTCTTGTTCCGTGCATTCCTTGCGGGAAACGGGCTCCTCAACGGAGAGACATGCATGTTCTTGTCGTACGGGCTTGGAGGTGCACGGCTTTTGGGCTGTGTAGCACGGTGTGGGTTGGAGCATCTCTCGGTTTGCACAGCCTCCTTTGAGGCTGGGCGTGGCTCCGGAGCTTCCGGTCCGAGCATGAAGTCTTGTTCTCTCATCCAAAGAGGTTGTCGCGGCACATTGTTTCTTTCGTTTTAAAATCTATTTGTGTCGCCTTTTTTGTTAATTCTATCTCTCTCTCTCTCTCTCTCGCTCTCTCTCTCTCGGAGTCTCCCCCCTTCTATTCCGTCGAGACATGGTACAAGGTGGGCAAGCAGCGAGCTTCGGAGCTGGTGGCGGGCGACTCAGATGGCGCGCCGGGTTGAGCCTTCCTTCGACCAACCACTTGTCGACTGTAGGACTGGATGGACGAGCACTGCCAGTCGGGTGTGAGCGTGAGCCAGACGGCAGAAACTGCAGACGAAAAAGGATTCATGCTGTTCACAGTGCGTCGCACAAAGCATCAACTCTCGCTTGGGTCGGGGACGTGCTCCACTCACGCCTCCGATTGTGCAGCAAGCTGGCGACATGTGTTACGGCTTTGGTTGTCATTGCAGGGTGTTTTGGGGGGGGGGGGGGGGGGTCCAAGTGCGCTACTCCGTTGCTGCGGTTGCATCGCGCGGAAGAAGTTGGCATGTTCATGCGTACACGCTATCACGATCTGTGCCTGTTTCTGTTGTTCTAACGGCCAGAGGCTTGCAGTCTTTTTGCCCCAACACCTGCCACGGCTCGCGAAGTCTCTTTGACATTTAGCGTCGAATTTCAGTGCTTGTCTCGCTCACGTTGCCTTCACGCCCCGCAGACGACAGCCATGTCCAGCGTAATATCAGCCGGAACCCGAAACCGGGAGTCGTGCCCCACTTCCAAGCTGGAGCTCGTCCGACGGACTCCGGACTTGAAGTTATCACGAGCAAGAGTGCCATGCACGGCGAGGTGCCTGGCCACGTGTTCTGAGCTTGCAGCATCCTGGCAAAGGTACTCCTTCCATCGAAAGCTTGAGCAGGTTCAACTTATCCTTCTTTTGTGCCCGTAATCAGCCGTAATCACGTGTCTCTCCTCTTTGGCTATTCTGTGATGCTGTTGCAGATCGCATCACATTTCACTTGACTCGTGTTACGTTGTTGCGCAAGCACTTCTGTATGCTCAGTGTGAGTGCAGATGATCTCGTAGGTCATCTCTGTGTATAGCCTTTTCACGTCTAGTCGGAACGTTTGGAATATCCAGCGCAGCGCCATTTCGCAGTGTTCCACGAGATTGGAGGGCTTCAGCCTACTCACAGCACACAATGGAACATAGCCGGAGATGACGCCATGCGTGCTTCCGGCAATCTCTGGGCCCAGACTCTAAGTCTTCGAAAAGCGCTTCTCTTTTCTGGATCTCTCTCTGTCTGGAGGAAAGCGAGCTGGTGGCCGGCGTGGCGTTTCGACCACAGAAGTGCAGGCCTTCCCAGAGCAGGGCCCTCGGCCCTTGGATTTGGGACCTTGGGGCCGGGAAGACTGGGAAGACTCGAGTGACTTGGAAACTGCAGGTCGCTTCCATGACAGCACCTTTGCTGCAGAGGACGGTACTCGAATTGCCTACAGGCCCGGTGGGTTTGCGTGCCTGGAGAGTGCAAGAGAGTGACTGCCTTCGTCTGCGTTGGATGGAATTGGCAGTGTTTCCGAATCCGAAAGTGCTGCGAAGCTAGCGAGGCTCTACAGAAGAGCAGACGCGGAGGCTGCGCAGGCGCAGGCGCCTGCTGCCCCCGAACCCGGTGCCCGATGAAGGAGGGCCGGCTCCTTGCGCTGTGCTACTTCCACGCCAATGCTGAGTTGTGCACGGACCTGGAGGCGGAATATCTGCCTTCGTTGTATGAACTCTGGGTCTTGTGGTCTGCAGGGAGAGGTGAAGAACTTCTTCGATTGCGGTTTTGCCCTGATCCTGTGTCCCGAGGCAGGTACGAACCACGGGCTTTGAGGGTTACGGAAGATGTCGTTGAAGAAGCTTCCTGTCTGCAGCGTACATGATTGTCATGCGCACGAGCGCATTGGAGTGAGGAAGGCTGAGGAGTTGAGAGTTGAGACAGTTTCGCAAAAATACTGTCAACAGGCACCAGGCTGATGCATGCGAGGGTACTTCAGATTCGATTTATGAAGAGCCGTTGGTGGTGTGGACCTGGCCTGGCTTTATTCATCGGCTCAACGTTGTTAGGCCCTCCTCCAGATACGAAGCTGACTTCGCTTATACTTCAGCGGCACGAAATCTGGGAAGCTAGCAGGAACCTCAGCCAGCACGGCAAGGTTGAGTTTGAGAGTAGTTTTCGTTAACTTACACTAGCAGCGAGAAAGTTGGAACATGGGTTTAGGAGGATTAGTGCCAGGATCCCATATACTTTACTTTAGGGGCATGAGGATACTAATATTCCAACTTTCTGGCTTCTACCATAGTGTCCGTCAGACACGTTTCAGCATCTCCATAATCCCACACACTGCTGCGTCGCCTGTAAGATAGTATAGTGACCCCTCGCGGCTCATCGCTAGTCTGGTTTCCATCTTTCAACAGACTCACGCATCATGCTTCAAAATGAGGGCAGCAACTTCAGACAAGAGCTCCAGCAAGCTTCGTGTCTTCTCTGGCAGTTTCGCGGCTACGCCTGGAGTGACGGGAAGCCAAGTGCTGACCTCAGACTCCTGGCGGATGCGACTGCGTCAAGTGTCGGGTGCCAGACAGGGCCTTGGCCCTCCACACAGACTGGATGGACACAAATGGATGGACAAGGGTTCCACACGGCAGGAGTGCTACAACTCATGCTCCTTCGTGTGTATCTCCTAGCTGTCTTCAACTGCGAGCATTGCGCGACATCTGTACAGCCCACATGAAGTACACACTGCGGTTTTTGGTGACGGAGCGGGGGGCAGAACGGATGGCCAGAGGGCTAAGGAATTCCCGAACCCTTCCAGTGCTAGGCCTGTCGTGTGCTTCGGAGGCTTGAAGCACCTCTACTCTGATTGCGAGGCTTTCATGCAGGTCGCACGCAGCTCGCCTGATTTGTCACAGTGCGCAACCGGTTGCCCTTTCAGGCACTGCCCTCCATCCTGGAGGTGGCAGGTGTCCAGGCCCGCCAAGCAGCCGTGCAGCGGCCGTGGCTGGGCGGGCGGAATGGGCCTTGCCGTCCGTGCGAAGCTGCTCCGGAAGGCTGATGTGCAGCTCATCCTGCACGGACGCAGCCCGGAGCCTAGGAATGCCAGGAGTGGCTACAAGTGGTGAAGGGGGAATTTTGCAAAAGAGCGGCAAGGCTTGGGATCTGCATGCGCCATTCATCTGGCCTCTCTGCAGGCTTGGCGGCTTGGCTTGTCGTCAGAGCAATGACGCCCCAGCATGCTCCAGCACTCAGGATGAAAGGGTCGGTGGCCTTGTCGTGGAGGCCTTCCCCACGCACTGGCTTTTGTGAACACTGTTCTGTAAATGAACATCCCTGTGCAGTCCGGCGTCATGGACCTCCTGGCATTGCCTATGGCGCGAAGCTCAAGTGACCCTCATCGCAGACAGTCCATGACTCCATGGCCCAGGTCCTGCAGATCGGCATGATGATGCCGCAAGTGCTGCAGGTCTTCTGCCCAGCCCAGTTGAGGCGTGGGGCGGCGGATGTTGGGGCCCGGGCGCTGTCGAGAGAGGCCTTGAGGGCACAGCCCTGCCCTTTGAAGATGCTCGAGGAGATTCGGCAGGTGGGGGTCTCTGCTCATGGCTTCAGCTCCACAGCTCGTGGGAACTGTCAGAGTCAGAGTTGCTTCGCCGAAGCCGTGCGTTTGGCTCGCCATCAGCGGCTTTAGTCCCGTGTCCCTCCTCACGTGCGCTGCACGCTCGGAAGGGGCCAGTGCCTGAGCAATTGTGCCGAGCCAGCCGAGGCACCGCTTTAAAGTCACCACGGCAGGGCATGAACGACCGCAGCTTCCGCCTCGGCTCTGCAGGCGATGCCGGGCTGCTGGGTCGGAGTGGGACTAGCCTCACTAGCCTACGTTTCTCTGGGTGCTGTGGATCTTTTCGGAGGCAAGGCGCTGATAGCGGGTGGGCTGCTCTGCCTCAAGGCAGGGGCAAAGCCAAGCGAAGCAGCTGAACTCAGCCGTCAAAGACATCCTCCAAGATCCAAGCAACGCAAGTACGAAGCGTGCGGCGCCTTTTTCGCTCCTTGCATTCCACAAGGAATTTTGGGTTCCTCTGCTCTGACTTGTAGCTGCAGCTTCCTTAAATTCAGGTCTGCTGTTGACTTTGGCAGGGCAGCGTCCCCACCTTCGCCGTTTTTCCTGCGCATCCAGCAGTCGTACCGAAGGGACAAGCCGGGGCCTGAGGCCCAAGGAAGGGCACGGCCAGTGGTAGCTCCTATCCGATGTTTGTTCCGACTATCCGATCTGGGCAGAGGTTTCTGGTGCGCCTGCCTCCACGACCCAGCTCTGGGCTCAGCCAAGTATCGCAGAGGAAGACAGAGCAGGGAGAGTCTTCATGCTAAGACACTTTGCTACATCTCCTGCCGAGGAGAGCAGCAAGCGGTGCAAGCGGCACAGGTGCTGGCGTTGGCTTCCTCAGCCTTCGCTCGCTTAGCTTGGCCGGTGTTTCCCTGGCGATCTTCCGAAGAACAGGTACGGGATGCCAAGACGTGGAGGGGGCTTTGTTAGAGTGCCGATAGTGCAGGTTGCAGAGCTACTACAGCTCGCCGTGCGGAGCCAGACGCCAGGTGCATTGGGCATGCGTTCTTTTCGAGGCAGACGGTTGCATTATGTTGCATTGCCAGGAGACCAGCGAAAGAGGAGGAGGTTCGGGAGGAGCGGGGGTGCCGGTGCGAGCACTTACGGCAACCGTATCTTGAGATGACGGTTGGACTTTGCAGTTGGTTCAAGAGCAGCAACAGGCAAGGCAACGCCAAGTTCTTCATTTACAAAGTGCATAAAGGACACCATATAAGGATGAGTGTGGAGCACTCTGTTGTTTCCATGCAGAGCAGGGGTATGCACCGATGCAGCTTGAGCAAGCCGCCACCCGGTCCATCGGAGAGCTTCGTGTAGCTCTGCCGAGTCCGCTGAAGCGTCAGACATATGTCCGACGGCTGCCTCTGCCTGCAACAGGGTGCAGTTGCTGCAAGCGATTGATTCTTGCGTGTGGCACCGCGGCGACTGGAACATCAAGAGCATGGCCGCTGGTAGTTCGACTTGCAGTGAGTGGTGGCTTGTCTGCAGTGCGAGCCAGAAGTAGATCCCAAGCACAGCTGCCAATCCTGCTGGACCGTAGGTCAGCGGGTCAAGACAAAGCGGGTAAGCACCGCAAGTCGCCGACATGGCTTCATCCGTACCAACAAGGAGGGAGTGTTGCCGGATGGTCAAGTGACGAAACTGCTGCGCTGCATTTGGCCAGCTGGTCGCCGTGTTTTGCAGGAGATTTTGGCAGCCAAGTCACCTGCGGAACTAGGGGAAGTCCTGCAGACGTTTCTTGAGGAAAAGCGGACCCTGAACAGTGCCACGGCTGGAATGCGCCACTCTTTTTCGGCCGCAGCGGGAGAGGATCCACCATGATCCTCTTATCAGGTGTGAATCTCGCGACTATCTTGTACAAGGCCGCGAAGATGGACCCAGAGGAGGCTGCTGTGGCCATTTGAAGCGTGGAGTAGTTCATGGGGCTTCTTCGTTTGTTTCGTTTGGCGGAGGTCTTCTCCGAAGGGCGCCTGAAGTTTCTGGCTTGCAGCCTCCGAAGCGGGCTCCTGCTCGACGCCCGGCGGCGGGCTTAGGACAAAGCGAGAGAAGGAGAAGAGTAGGGGCAAGGAGTAGGGGCACCGGGATCTCAGCAGGCAGCTCAGCAGCTCCTTGTACGGCCTGCAGCGCATGACGGATTCGACGAAGGGCGCCGAGGAGCTGCTCTTGGCTTTGACACAGCAGGTGACGAAGGCGGCCACCGAGCGGCGGGGCTTGGGAGGCGACGTCGAGCCGCGACAGCTCAGCAACGCCTTGTACGGACTCCAGGGCTTCAGCCTCTCCCAAAGACCCGCCGTGCTCCCAGCGCTGCTCCGAGCTCTCGCCAAGTGGGCCACGCCCGCCGGGACGCCCCCCCCTCCTGCTCGGGGCTTCTCGGCTCAGGGGCTCGGCATGGCCCTCTACGGTCTGCAAGGCATCGGCCGCTGCGCGGAAGTGGAGGAGCTACTTGAGGCCCTTCTTCCCTATGTCCGCGGTGCCGCTCCACTGGACGGCCAGGCGGTGGGCAATGCCTTGTACGGTCTGCAGAGTCTCAACAGCGACTCTGAAGGCCCCCCCTCCCTCATTAGCCTCTCTTTCTTGGTTTTTGGGGTCTCAGCCTCTCTGTGTCTTGGTGGAAGACTATGGTGTGATATAGGTCTGAGGAATCGTTAGCACGGCACTCCTGCCCACTCCGCGCCAAGTTGTGCGTCGGCTTCTCGGCGTCTTTGCATCCAAGCTGAAGTCCTTCGTCGGCAAAATGACCGAGCAGGACACGGGTCGTTTATTGAGGGGTTCATGACGACAGGCTCCTCAAAAGCTTGAGCTGCCAGCATTGCTGCTGTCTCTGGAGGAGGTGAGCAATGCATTGTATGGCCTTCAGTTCATGGACCCCTCCCTTCCGGAGGTGCCTCATGCGAAACGAGATTCGGACGGGTTCGGCATTGCGGGTTGCAGAGTGCAGGGTTGGGAAAGGACTGCATCTTTGTTGTGTGTGGCAAACAGTACGTTTGTCTTCGCCCTCATCAGGTGGCTGACGTGGTGGAGGCGCTCGTCACATCAGCCAGGCGCACGACAGAGAGGTCTCCGAGCCAGCGGCAGCAGCGGAGTCGGCATCCTGTGAACCCTCTGCAACACTCCCAGCCGAGGTGCGACAAAGGGTGGGGAAACTTGGGGGCACTGACAGGAGAGATGTCCGCTGATCTCGAGGCTTCCATCGAGATTTCTGGAGGAGGCCTTCCCTTCCCCGCTCGAGTCAGGAACAGGCGGAGAAGCGGCGCGGTATTGGCTGGACCTGGGCTGCGACACGGGCTCCTTCGTTCGTGGCATCGCGCGACACCGCCCGGAGCTGCGTGTCATCGGCCTGGAGCTGCGAGCCCAAGCCGTGGCTTTCGCCAAAGCCAGAGCACAGCAGCAACGCCTTCAGAACGCCGCATTCCTCCAGGCACAGGGGAGGAGAGGAGAGAGGTAGAGAATGGTAGAGACGTGTTGAGGCTCGAGTGGCTCTAGTGGACTGCGAGTGTGGGATTCAGGGGAATGCCAACGTCGAGTTGGCAGCGTTGCTGAAGCAGCTGGGAGAAAACGACGGCCAGGCCTGTTGTGGGAGATTCGTTCATCAAAGAGAGAAAGACACAGAGAGAGAGCTTGTAGCCATTTTGGCTCAAGTGCTGCACCCTTGTGGGGAGGGCCTGTTCAGCCCTCTCTGCATCGGGGGGGAGACGCAGAGTTCACTCGGGGCTGTTACCCCCTTGGGAGCTTCTGTCGTTTTCCCCAGCGGTGCTTGAGCTTTCCGCCTGCTGCCGTTTTGCTTAAGAGGCCCCGAACCTGACCGCGGCCCTCCCTTCGGGGGGGTGGCCCGCGAGTAGGGGGGTGGAGCATACCACATCACTGCGGAACTCGGGGTGACCTCGCTCTACTACCACCTGCCGAACTATGTCGAGTTCCTCGCGATCCAAGCCGGGGGGGGAAAAGAACCCCAGAGGTGGGCGAAGCCGAGTGGAAAGAGATCCATCGGCAAAGCCGGGGAGGACTAACATAACATGGCAAGAACAGTGCGAATGGGCCGACTATTTCAAAGCAAAGGGGGTTACATGCCGAGCCTGCCTTCATGGACCGTTCTGCCATAAGAGCCACGACAGTGGCCCCACATGTTACAAGCACCGCGTAGCCGGGGGGACGTGTGTGGCTGCGGGGAAAACAATGCCATACAGTGACTACGTCCGCTTCGAAAGCGAACAAGGGACGGCCCTGCTGTACGAACCAGATCCCTTGGACCGGTGGATCGGCAAAGACGTGAAGAAAAACTGGAAGACGGGGAAATACAAGAACCGTGCGACGGGGGAGATTCTCGACGAGGCCAGTGCCCAGAAATGGGAACAGTACATGCAGCGACATAATGCGAGAAGGGAGACAGGACGGCAAGCTGACAAACTGGTCGCCATCGTCACGGAAGCCAACCCCAAAATCGTTACAGAGCTTCTCCTCTTCATAGCAAAGCACCCGTGGAAGGTGGGGGCGCTACTGAGCCAGGCGAAGCAAGAGTTCAAAAGCCAGCGCACACCGCCCAAGGAGGGGGAGACAAGCAGCCATGACAAGAAGAAGGGGGAGAAGCCGAAGAAGGACAAGAAGAAGCACGAGCGCAAGAAGCACAAAAAAGAGAAGAAAGACCGGGAGAAGAAGGACAAGAAGAACCGGAAGAGCACAGTGGCAGGGGAGAGTCGTGAGAAAAAGGTAGGGCGAACCGCAGTCAGCCTAGGGGACGAGTGCGAAGACAGGCCAAAAGGAACCAAGCGGGCCAGCGCCGAAGGAGAGGCAGCCAGCGCCAGCTCTGGGGGACGACCGCCGCCAACCAACCACAGCCCGACTCAAAGAGAACGTGGGCGAGGTGGGGAACGGCAACCAGGGGGAGCAGCAGGACATGCCCCCCGCCAAGTCCGCCTACTACCTGGTTCCATGTGGCGCGCAGTGAGACGCGTGCAAGAACATATGCGTGGAAAAGCCGCGGCGTGAGCTACAAGCAGTGAGCGGGGGAATACCTTGGCAGTTTTTCTTTGTTTGCTTACAATGTTAAGTATAATTCAAGACGGGCCGCTGGAGCCACTCAAACCAACCACCGACTCGGGCCACATGCCCATGCATTGCACTGCACTAAATTGCGGTAGAGACTTGTTTGCAGTTTTGGGGAGAACCCTTCAGCTCAACTTTTCAATAGGAACCTAGAAAGAGACTTTGCAGCATAGGTGACGACCCCAGGTGATGCATACTAGCGATTTCGTTGTTTTGGCGTGGTCCTTAGAGTGTTGTGGTTTATGGGGGGCGTTCACCGTGCACTCGTTTCAGTGGGGGGTTTTTGCCTGTCGCAGGAACTTAGGACTCAGCCTTAGAGGGCGCGGCGATGAGGCCGGGAAGCGCGTTAGTGTAAAGGGCTTTAGGGGGGATTCCTGCCAGGCAAACACTACCATTCACACACACCTTTTGTCTTCGTTGGCCGACCTCTGACCCCAAAGCCTTCTCTTCCACTGCCGCAGTGGGGAGAGGGGGGCCGAAGGCCCGGGTCCGCCTGGCGGACTCATCCCTCGCAGTCGAAGTCGAAGTCGAAGATAGAGAAAGCTACACACAATTCCGGGGGATGACCGCTCCGAATCAAGCTGTATACTGTATGCCCAAACATATCTGAATTCGTCCTGATCAAGCCTACTGCTTAGAATGAGTCAACCCGGGGAGAAAACAACAGGCATAGTGCAGCTACCCCGACAGAAATCTTATCGCATTTGTTGTTGCATACCCTCTCCTACTGGTGATGTAAGCTGTCTGCGCATCGCGGGGAAGGCTGCAACACTATGTACCATGAATATGTCATGTAAAGATGGTGGAAGACCGAAACAAATAGCTCCAACAACTATGTCCTGCTTTTGCGGTCATGAAACCATGAAACCTTCACTCCCCTCGAAAACGCCAGTAAAAGGCGGGGCGGGCCCGCAGTGCCCGAGGGGCATGCCCCTATGTCAGCACAGCAAAGCAAAGAACCCAAGCTCGACTTTAGCACAGCCAGGCCAATCAGGGCATAGCCCCATTGGGTCCTGTCGAAACCCTACCTGGACTTGCGGGTGCGAGTTCGCCTCCTCTTACCTGGCAGAGAGAGTGAGAGAGAGAGGGAGAGAGAGAGTGTGTCTTGAAGGTAATGCTTACATACTCACGGTCTGGTGTTTCTTGGACAAGTTATGGCCTCAATTCCACGAGATGCGATACGAAATGTTTGTTGGGGGACTCATAAAGTGTGTAGTTGACTGAACACAGTCCCGGCCCCAAACTGCATGGGTCCACACAAACTGGTAGAATCTCTCAAACCTTTATAGTCCAATATACTTTTCGCTGCCTTTCGAGAGTTGTTCGACCAGTGTGTCACGTTCCCTCAAAGCCGCTAACAAAAGGGTGGTCCATGAAACCTGGGGCCTAAAACCCGCCCCTCATGCCCTGCTGAAGAAGAGAGAGTGTATGTGGAAAAATCAACGGAACCGAGCAACCAAGATCAACCGCTTTCCCCAGTACCTCACAGACATTCCCTTCGTCAAGCCGATCAGTCCGACCTTCAGCCATTGCCATTCGGCATTAGAGCATTCATATGTGCATCATGTTCATTCGCTGTAGTCTTGGGCTCCTGTCATGTAACACAGAGAGAGAGAGAGAGAGAGAGAGAGAGAGAGACCGGGGGCCGCATTCAGGAGGGGGCTTCAGTGGGGTTGCAGGGGCAAACAAGCGCCCGAGCTGCTAGTGGTCCTCAAGCGTGTTATACGACACGCCAAAGACTGGGGCATCCCCACATGGATTGTGAAGCTGGACGTCCGCAAAGCGTTCGATAGTGTTTGGCAGGAATCCATGGGGGATATGGTTGCTTCCAAAGTTGGGGGGTTGAGACAGTCTGGGGGAGGCAGCATCGATGGGATGCCCTGGGAGGCCAGAGCGTGGCTCGGCCTCCTCGAGGCTAGAGAGGTCAGGGTCGCGGTTGCGGACACGTACCCCAAACCAACGGGGTGCGCCAAGGTTCTCCTTATAGTCCCGTGCTCTTTGGGAGAGTGGTTGCTGACGACCTTGCGGGGGCCCTCCAATCCACCCAGAGGCTTTTGCCACCAGCCGAGGGACCACCCCCACCACAATCAGGGGGGGCATACATGGATGACACCTGTATCTGGAGTCATGATCGTGCTCATTTGCAGGCATCCCTCGCAGCGTTGGAGCGACAGCTCCGCAAACACGGCCTCACCATTAACCCCGCCAAAACCGCGATCATTTTCAGCATGAAGACTGGGGGAGGCAGCTTTCAAATCGGGGGGGAAGAGGTGGCGTGCAAACCCTACCGTACGGTAGTCACGGCCTTGGGGGCACCTATCACGTTTGGGGAGGAGGTGGCAGCATCAATCTCGGAGTTGCAGCACCGAGCCAGGCGAGCTTTCCACAAGCATGCTAAGCTGCTCTGCGCGCCCACTTCCCTGGATAGCCGCATCAAGCTTCACCAGACTCTGGTCAGGGGGGCAGCCACTTGGGGTTGCGAAGCCTGGCCTGTCACTGACGCAATTCTTCGAGCGTGCAGCTAGGGCAGGTGAGACGGAGGGGCGGCGGCCGGGGGAATCATGGGAGGAGTGGAATGTGCGCACGCTACGGGGGGCTCGGGTTGCTTT